ATCGATCAGTCTTCTTTCATGACCGAACCTCTTTTTGTATTATATTCAGCTCAATGTTCTACTGTGGTAATTAACATGCAACTGCAAAACTAAAAGTTATGTCTCTCAGTTCTCTGAGGTTTCACCTATCGTAAGCAGTTCTTGAGGATTTTTTCCTTTCCCTTGCTAAACCGATGACCTGCGCTTTCTTTTTTTTCTGGTTTTTGGTCTCTTCTACAATTCCCTCACCCTCTCTACTCTAAGAGAATTATTCGCTGCTTCGTTTTCCTGTATGACTGAGTTTGCCTAGGCTAGATGCCCTCGCTCCCTCTAACTCTCATACCCTGTTATTACGGACTCTCGCTATTACGGACACTAAACCTCCCCCGCCTCCGAGGGTGTCCGCAATAACGGGAGTCGACTGTAATAGCCTAGGCCCGATAGGGGGAAGCTCCGCTCGAACGGGGTATCTTTTTCAGGCTTTAGCTGTGTGGGATTTAAGTATTTAAAAGGGTCTCAAGTTCAAATGTTTCGAAAAGACGCGCCCTCTGAAAATGAAAGAGGACTAGGACTCCCTGTTTTAGCGATTTATCCGTGGAAGGCGTAGAAAGGGCTGCCTTTTTGTCAAAAGTGGTTTATAACAGACATTGTGGCAGAACGTTACTCGAATTAAGACTTTGTCAAGTAGCCCCTCGCCCATGGACCCTAAATTCTTTTGGGTTGTCACGCAATTAATCCACCCGAAAGGAAACCCAAAAAACTTCTGCGTGGGATGGTGGATTTTTCACATATTGAACGTGATCTTTATCAGAATTCAACATACGTTGAGTGATCGCCATCACGTGATGACAAATTATCTGCAATTTGACCATGTAAGCGGACTTTAAGACTTTCCTTTAGTTTCTAAACTACTTTTAACTTACAAGTAACGGACGAGGATTATCCGTACATATTTCAGTAATAGCGGAAAGGTCGAGAGTCTGATGATAACTATGTTTATAGGGCGTGTAAAATAAAGAACTTCCGATATCCGCGATACTAATCTTCCCCCGCCAGAAACGCAGATACATCAAGCTCATTCTCTCTTTGATACATACATTGCAACAAAACTTTAAAGCAGTTTTGCAGTTTGTCATGCTCGGTGTATATGGAGCTTTATTGAAAAACCCAGATTTCTTTCAGATTTAGCCTAGCTCATGCAGAACGTAGGCGGAAAACACTGACAGCATACATTTTTCCGGCTATTCATTTCCAATCAAAACAGTCGACTCGGACAATTTAGGATAAAATCAAATATTATTTGGTCAAACAATACCAAGAGAAGGCGGTCGAGGGTCGAGAGTTCCCAATATGTTTTTCGGGATACGGGATTTCCCATCTTTAAAACTCGGGATTCCAATCAGGGCGACATTCGGGATTGAAAGTATCCACCTTCTATTCCCAAGTCGTAACCCCTGAGTCACATACCAAAATGTACTGCCTTTTAAACTGATATGAATAAATCAGGAAACCAGGATTATTTTCTACTTTGTCATTGCCGTAAATTCCTTCTGTTAGACTTTTTATGCCCTTTAGCTTAGCTTAACATTATCTCCAATGACTAAATGACTAAATTTAGATAGAGTATTTTTAAAAGGGAGACTACTTTGAAAAAGCCCCAAGGGTTTCCTTAGTCTTCGTCCCAAATGCAGATTGTAACAGCCAAATATACATGCTGTACTATTTCAATATGGGAAATAGAGTCATTCATTCATTCATTCATTTTAGAGACCTAAATGATCAAATTTCCCTGCCCTCTCATTTACTTTGTCGAGCGAAGGAAGCGAGCCGCGAGGGGCTTTCGTTTCCCTCACGCCCCTCACTGTAGCGTCTCCCTTTTACGACATATCCCCCAAATGGAGAACTTGCAACATGCTAAGATACTTGGGGGGCCGGCTCATTGAGAACCTGATATTAGAGGGTAGGTTTCTTTCGAAAATATAGATGAGACCTAAATTAGCCCGTCCATCAAAACATGCAGACGAGCAATATGTATCCCGTAGCTACATTGAACCACACTACAATTTGCATCTGATATTCGAGGTGTTTTTAATTTCCGACTCAGCAACGATATTTGTAAGTAGAAGGGACCAACACAGATTTCGTTGGTGACACCAAAGCGATCGTGTTGGAATCTATTTTTGTAAAATGTCGCATCAATAGCCCTCGTTCGATATGTTATAATCACTAAGACTCCGAGGCTCTCTGGTCATTTTTCTATAATTGGTTTGATTTTCTTTGTACTCAAGTCTCTCATTGCGAGAGAATGGAGTCGTCAATGTGAAAAATGTGCAATTTTGACCGTAAAGCCTTGGAGTTATGTAAGAATTTTATTATATCGAACGTCCTCGTTCAAAGGCACCCGAATATTAGCGACACCAATGAAAAAGACTTTGCGACCTTTGAAACTTTTTCGATCTTATACTAAGTCACCCAGTTACTTGAAAGTTTAGAATTAAGGCTTTAAGAGAGAGAGAGAAAAATGTTTTTCGCCTTGCCGATCCCGTTCTCCAGTCAACTCAAAATTTGGTCATTTCACGTCGTAGTTGTGCAGAGGCGGCAAAGAAATGTACAAAAAAGCGTGCATGATGCATGAGTTGTTGTTTTGCTCATAAAACCTATTGTGTTTTAGACGTTGCCGTCGCCGTCGTGGTATCGCAAGGTCCATACAATTGAAAGCGGGAGATTTTTATTTCCGCTTTCGAAAAAACGCGTTCACGTAGCGAACGTACCGGTATTCGAATCATTTTCGCCCATCCACACGAAAACGCTTACGAACGCTTACGATCAGCATCCCCGCAGAGCATGCGCCGTATAATGTATGACATCATAGTTTTCGAGAACCTCCGTTTGCGTCCGTCCACACGAAAACCGTAAGCTGGCGTTTTCAAAAACTGGGGACCGTTTTAGAAAACTTGCGTTTTATACCGCCCGAAAACGCCCTTTACCTGTGCCAACGGCTGGCGGTCAAGATGGCCACGTTTTTTGTTGCTCTCGTTATTCTCCAATTTTACAAACATTTTAGGCTAAGCGTAGAAGAAACCTTGTGAAAAAAAGGACAGCGAAAAAAGGAACAAAACATGTCGTTTTCTTAAATCACTATTCATTAGAACCTAAAATAGTTTCCTATATTACGTTATTTTAGGGGCACAATATTATTTGACCTACTAATGTGCCCCTGACTCTTCCTTCTTTTTGTGAAAGACGTACCGTGACTAGAGCTCTAACGTTTGTCTGTGGTTTATCTTGTGCTGTTTATAATGGAATGGAAAAAATGAAATGGCGGAAGTCTAAAACGGAGAAAAAAATCTCCGTTTTCAAAAATATCCTGCAGCTCTGTGCGGAATTCTGGAAGCTTATTGGCTTATTGAAGTGTTAATGGTATTAACGCTCGATTTTTACGAATAATTTTTCAAAAGTCATTTTAACTCTACAACTCACTTTTATTTGCATTATCGTTTCTTTGAAAAAATATTTTGATTTATTTACTCAGCTTTTTAGACAGAAAACATCTTTTTCACTTTATTCTGACGCTGTTCTTTTTACTTTCGCTTTTGCGAAGCAGAGCACATAATTAATACGATACTGAAAAATTAGCGGTACCGTGCCCAAAATTTCAGGCACCGGTGCCCACTTTTAGGGCTGCCGCGCCCAAAAACTTGTTGATGTTCTAGATTTTTCGGCAAATAAACACGCTCGCAGACCGTAATAGAATGAACTAGAAAGTATTTTCACTGCTCTCGGCTACGCCTCGCACAATACTGATTTGAATTTGCCGTTTGCGCGCTATTTGCGAATAAAATACTCTAATAAGTCACCAAAAATCCAGGAAATCCAGAAAACCAGCTAGCAGATTTTCGGAAACAGCGAAACAGCTAGATTTTCTCCAAAATTTTTTAGGTCGAAATAATTACATTTTTTTGGCGATTACGTTATCCTTTCGAGAACGCTATTTGATACTTATTCAGTCTTCAGGTCCTCATTTGTTTGCCCTGATTTAATTTACCAAAATTGATCACTGTTTAATGCACTGTTTATGCAATTGATCACTGTTTTATCTATCTGGCTTAGCAACCAGTTAAATGACTATTTTATGTAACTATAAAATATGCAAATCTACCGAACGTCGCTAAAGCGGTCATTAAAAATCGTCTTCTGAATTTTCTCCTAATCGGTTGGAAAAAAACGTAGTAAAAATCGATTCCACGTTTTTTTTTCTTTTTTTGATAGTGTTCTCGGCGCTAAGTGCGTCTGGCTTCCGCATAAAGTCATTTTCTTGGTTGCAACGCTCGCTTGTGAAAAAAAAAATGTTTTGCTTCAAAATCTAATATTACGTTTAATTCAAATCATACCAATTTTTTGTCTTTTATATATTTTCTACAGGGAGATGTGATGTTTGCTTAATTCTTCTTTTTTTTTTCACTCTTTCTGTTTCCATTTTAAAATATGTTATTTTTTTCCCACAATAAATTTACGCCCAGGGTGCTTTTGGCACCTTCTTGACAGCTGGCGATTTCTCGTCCATTGTAACTTCTTCGATATTACAAAAACAAACACAACGTTAAAAGGGTGCTAACAGGCGATTTTTAGAGCCAAAACCCCGCTCTCCCTTAGTTCATTGGTTAAGAAATGCTTCGAGAGATATACGTAAGTGCTTTTTATAGAATTTCACTTATCTCCTTGGAAAATAATTTCAATTTTCAATCATTTTCAGTTTGCGATCAAGCGAAGTCATTTTTTGATCAAACTTTTCCGGGCAGCGGCTCGAGCCGTCAATGAATGCGGACCAATCAGCGTGCGAGTTCCTGTCATCTGATCGCAAAGTCAACATTCGACGGTTTCCTTTCGGGAAGAGAAATATGGCGGTGAATTTGATGAGTCGTTTGTTTTTTAACTAGAATCATTAGCATTAGAGCGGCCAAAGAGGGACGATATGGGTTGATTTCTACGATGCAATGCATAGTTTGGCCTTCTAGACCAGAATGGACAAACATGATCGCTTTATCGGTGAGATTTTTGCTTGTGAAATCGTGTCCTTGAAAGACTACGACATGTTTTGTTACGTTCTGTTTTTCGCTCACGATTTCCATATTTCTTATTTGTCTTCATAATCTTACAAAGCTTGGTCTTGTTTATGTAACTACAGTGAAAACATGTACTAATCATACGATCTTAAAATCTTGATTGTTTTTTGGATGCTTTTAAAGCTTTCGCTGTATTATCGTTAACACTAATGTTAATTTCTACTTCCCTCCATCAGCCATCAACCAAACGCTACCCGGGCTAGAAGACTTTCTGAAAGTGGTTCTGGGTAGCGAACCTTTGAGCGAAGAAGCGGAAAGACAACGAATTGAATTTCTTAGAAGGCTAGAAAGTGTTTCGAAGCCTCCTTCACTGCCGCCAAGACCTGCACATTTGAGTGAGCGTTATCGAGCGCGTGTCCAGCAAAATGAACTCAACTATTCCGGAAGCGCTCTACCCGCTGAGGAAAGCAACTTTTATAAAAACGAAAAGACGTTAGATCCCGTTGAATTCGCTTCGCAGCAACGTGAATTATCAAGGGTTACGAATTTATACAAGACTTATGCACCACAAACTGTTGTGTTGGGCGAGAAAGGAAGCAAAAATGGTGGCTTGTATTTTCCAAAAACAGGGAATACAACGTTCTCCAGGGTAAGCTTTGTTTAAAAAATTTCCTTCGATATTTTCTTATTATTCAGAGTATTTCATTCAAAATGGACTCAAGTGATGATTTTAAATCTACCTCACGTGTACGTGACTAAATTTAGTATTCAAAAGAAAGCCATACCAGTATGTGCTTTCATGCAGCGAAATGAGTCATACGGTACACAAAATTCGCCTATACAGTAAGCTTCTTCTCTAGCTCGTGTATTTTTAATTAGAGACCCTGTTTACGGTGAGAAATCTATGGAAATGTTCCACTATATGAGCAGTTTGCAGCAATTTGACCTCTTGTGACATAGCCTTTCGGCGTTGTAGCCGCTAGTGTTTGGAATTTTGTTTGATAAAGTTATCGCGTGAACTTAATCATCCATCGATCGCCGACCGTTCATTGCAGTTGTAGATTTCATTGCTGATAAGGAACAAAGTCTTTATGAGAGATCTATAAAGCGCCATTTTGTCATTCTCAGTTGATTTTTTTGAATGTATTTTTATGGTTTTTCTCTGCGATGTTGAATCACTATTTAAACAATTGCGTTGAAAATAGCATCTAGCTAGATCCTTTCTTTAAAACGGACAAAAGATCTTTTGTCCAAGAAACTATCAATATGCTAAATTTCATTGTGTGCCGGTTGTTCAGCACAATGTATTATTTGAACCTTGTACTGATAATTTTTGATGAAAACTCGATATTATTTTCAGCAGCACATCGCAAACGCCTTCAAAAATGCTGCATTCATCATGATTTTACAATTATGAAGGTTTCCTCAGAATTAGCTTGTTTTTATCTCATCTATTAATAACTTGATTATCAAAAGTACATTTTTTTTTCAGGATCATTTACTTTACTAGCAATAAATAATCATATTTTTGATGCACGTTTTTTAAACCTCTGTCTTAAATTTGTGAGCAGTTATCTTTTAAATGCCAAGGTATTTCCGCAACAATAACATCGTTTGATTTGTTCAATTTTGCAAAATCGATTTTAAAACATCAATTAGTGGCTTTTGATTTCAGTTTTCAGTGTTTGAAAGGAACTGGGTGGTAAAATAAGTTAACTGAAAACTTTCTTTTAGAATCTCAAGGATGTGTTATCAATGTCAAGATCCTTATGTACCATCCTGTAATACTAGATTTGTTACAAGGATTTTTTTGTTTTCACAGATTATTTCACAGATTATCTTAGGGAATGTAAACTCAAAATTACAGAAAAACGAAACAAATTTCATTTTGTTATACTGGAAAACAAACGCTTCCATACAAAAGTTCTGCTAAAGAGGTTTCATTTGAATCATCACAATCCAGGATTTTGTCTGCAGACTCTGATAGTAGAATTCATTACATGTTGCAGCATTTGATTCAAGGAGTAGAAGCCAAAGGGGTTAAATGGAACAGATAAGCAGATTAAAAAACTTCAAAGGTCTTTTTACAAAAGAGGTTCAATAAGCTGTTCAGATTATCAATCAAATTTTGTTCCTGTTTTAGATACCTTTATCATGGCTAGGCAAAGCAATTGGTGTTTTTCAACTCAGTCAATTTATGGATAGGCCTCCCTGAAGAGAAACTACATGTAGAGCTGATAATTTGTGTCGTAGGTTGTCATCTCGACAAATCCAAGGTCTACAGCAAGTAAACATCGGTTCTTGAATCTCTATAAAAATCCAATTCCTGTTCTAAACTCGACAAGCGCTGTAGTTGTTTCCAAAGGTGCCTAATTTATACCTAATGTATATGTGTGTTACTTGAAATCTTTCTTTGGTTTGAAATTTGTTATACCAGTTTAAATGTTTGTATTCATTTGTATCTGGTTGTGGTATGAAAATTTCGCTTGTTTATATAAATATAAACCTCAAAATTATCATTGTACTTTTATCTTATGTTCATGTGTGAAAACTAACACGACTTCAAATTCTCTTTTGATAATTTTTAAGAGCCCCTTAAAAACGTTTGAAGTTTCTGGTTAGGAATATTATTCAGTCATGCATATTGGTATGTATTGTGTTTCAAGAGTTGGACATTAGAGCGTCTCAAATGTTTGCAAATGTTTCCATTCAACAACACTATGCAAATGTGAAGTCAAGTACTCATTGTTGTCTCGTCAAGACTCATCTGCAGTCCTTGTCTTTTCTGTAGACTTTTCACCCTGATTTCATAAACTGTGACACCTTAAACCATTTACATCCAGAAAAAATTAATTGTAACTTTAAATAATTTAGTCTACTCCACATACTGCGAAGGTCAATCTCTGATTTGTATGCAACATTGCATCTCTTAAGCTTTCTATAAAAAGTAAATTCATCACAAGACGTAATTTATCAGTTGACTGCAATTCAATGTTCTTTTGTAAAACTTTCACCTGCGGTCATTGTTGTTTACATGTAAATCTAGGCTGTGAACATCATAGATTGTGCATGTAGTAACCTGAAGTGACAGGGCAGATTTACATGAAGCATTATCCCATTTTTGCATCTTTAATGAAAATGACCTTCCTTTAATACTAGCATCACTTGCTCCTACTTTAATCGACATAGTCTATTTAACTGTTTTGAATCAATTTGCATTGTTGACCAGGGTTCTCTTAGCAAGGTCATGCCTTGGGCATTTAAACTGCATACAACTAAGGGAGGCCTCAATTAAACTCTTCTTTGTGTTAATGTCAGACTTGGCTCTGCACTCCTAGATTTGTATCAATCTGCAACTTTTTTTTCAGGGTCACATCAGTGTTTATAAAATAAGGATTTAATCACTGTTTTTGACAGCCTTTCTTGCTATTATACCTACATGTACAATGTAAAAAACCTGAACTCTCTTCTACTGTGTATAAGTTCAGCTTTTGGACTCTTACAATACGTCACCAATGAATTGAAGAGAGTGCCATACCGCAAGTAAAAATGATAACAAAACTTATTTCAATCATCAAACTTTAGTAATACCCTTAAGAGTTACAAAAACCGGTTTTTACGGTGATAAAATTTATCATAAACATACAAAGGGAGTGCTTGGAGCTGCGATTATAGCAATATGCATTTTTAATAATAAATTTGGTCTGGCTACATTTACATGTATGTCTGCTGAGATTGGTAGTAAGAGCAAATTACAGGAATGTGATTGTTGAGTAAGAAAGCGCTGGGCTGCTTCTGTGGCTGCAAAACTGACATGTTCGCCTTAAAGTGATATGGGAGTGTCAACTTACTTTTGAGCTTTACTCAGCCAAGTCAGAATGAGTCGGTAACCAGCAATTTTGATTTGCCAATTCGAGTGAAATATTTGTTGCCTATTCAACACTAATAATAATAATATTATATGAAATATATATAAATAAAAACCACACAATGTTAGTCCTTTTCTGTCTGCTACTCTTGTTGTCTTGCCTAATATTGCAAAGCATTTTGACTTGCCCGGGTCAGGGCTCAAAGTTTAAATTTGAGTTTCGGAGCACTTGTGCTACCAGATGTAAATTTTTAGGCGCACTGCCGAAATTTTAGGCTCACAGCTGAAAATTTTAGGAGCGCAGCTTATAATGTTGGGAGCATCTATTTCAAAAGAAAAAGTAAAAAGCTTAACAGTGCCACGTTTATTTGTCATCTTCAGTTTGTTACTTTTACTTCAGTCCTGTGATTGGCAAAACACAGCCGATTTGCTACGCAGTAATACTGTTGTGATTTTTAATACTAATTTCTCTTTTTGACAGTACCGTTGTGACTAAAGAAAACTTACACTTGAAAAACAGTTCAAAACTGACAACAATGAGTGAGTCGAACGAGAATGAAAATTAATCTTTAATGAATTTGTTAAATACGCAATGACTTACATGTAACTGGAATACGACTTAAAAAACTTTCTTACCTGGAAAAAAAGGCTCTTAATCCGCACTGTTTTTGTTTTGGTTGACGTTAAAACTGAACGTTCGACATGATCGTCCATTTTGTAGCATATATTTGCATGTGTCAGTGGTGTTTATTACAAAACAGAAGAGTCTGGGATGGAGTAAAACATCGAAACGAAAAAGAACATTCGAGTTCGTAGAATCCATTGGGAGAAAAGACCAATTAAATATACACCGTCTTTCTAGTTCGAGTTCGTAAGTATAGTCGGAAGTAAGTCAGTAGCACTGTGCTTTGGGTTTTATGGCATACAGGTGCGATTACACTTGAATTTTTACGCACACAACCAAAAATCCAGTCGCATATGCGACCAGTTAGTCGCTAACTTTGAGCCCTGCAGGTACAGTACACTTTCGTAGTAAACCTTTTCAGCTTCATTAATGTCGCATGTCTAATTAAATATGACTGACTGATTCCTTTCCTCCTGTGATCCGGGCTTTTTTCTTAGAGGCAGCACTAGACATTGTTAGCACTTGTTTGTTCTGTCAGTGTGCAAAGAAAGTAGCGACTGATAGCCCAGGGCTAGTGGATTTTGTTATCGGGCTAGTGAATTTTGTTCTTAACTTACCGACGGGCAAGTAAAGTTTTTTGAGGAATTCAAATTACAGAAGAACTATAAATCAATTCTGCTCATCAAAACCTTTTGGGGACTAGTTGAAATGTCATTTGGGCTGGTAAATGCTAGCTTCAGCTTGCCCAAATATCAAGCTGTAAAAATGACTTTCTTTGCACCCTGTCTGTCAAGGGGATTTAAATTATTATTTTTTTAATTTCTGTAGAGTTTAGTGCCTGCAATTTCAATAAGAACCTTACAGTTGTGGATATACAGTACATAATTTTATATTGTGGGTTCAAATTAAATTCAGGTTAAGATATTCAAATATAGGTTCATTCTCAATCTCCTTTGTCTCTTAATCCCTTTAGGCCCAATATCAACATGTACGTGTATGTATATTCTCCTGACTGCCCTCTATATGTTTTTTATTGCACTGCTTGAGAGAATTAGGTGAACAAACATCAAGACATTTCGTCAGTGCAATGCTCCCTGCTGCAACCATTTTGGTCACCATAGAGAGTAGAAGAATTGTCGTGAAAGTTGCCGATTTGGTGACCTATGTTCAGCGATCACGTGCCTAGCTATTCCCAAGAATTTCCTGAGATTTTGTGTGATGTTTTTTACTAGTAGTTAGCGTTTATGGTGTTTTTAAGCGACACTGTAAAGTGAGGTGAAAATTTGTATTAAATATCATTCATTAGCGTACAAAGAAAGTAGTGTCCGATAGCCCGGGGCTAGTGGATTTTGCTATCGGGCTAGTGAATTCTGTTATTAACTTGCCAGACAGGCAAGTGAAGTTTTTTGAGGAATTCAAATTACAGAAGAACTGTGAAATCCATCTGCTCATCAAAACGTTTTTGGGGCTAGTTGAAATAATGTTTGGGCTAGTAAATGTTAGCTTTAGCTTGCCCGAATGGCAAGCAGAAATGACTTTCTTTGCACCCTGTTTATGCTCTGTTTTCTTGATAATTTGCCTGATTTCACCCTGCTTCTCTGGGATTTAAGCCTTGAGATGTCATGTGCACGTCCAATTTAGATTATGATGGTTAGGCAGCCATTCTGATTCTTTCAAGTGTTCATCTAGTATTGCACAAAGTGTCCCTTTTTTCTGGGGACTGATATTTTTTGTCTGGTGACCATTATATAATTTTAGGTTGCCAAAAGTACTTTGAAAAAAGTTGAGCTTGGAGCACTGCAGTGCTGATCATTCCATTCATTCTCTTGGCCTGTATGTTTTATCTGGAAGTGATATTGTTGGGAGAAATTTTATGGTGATCAATACTGGGACTTAGAGGGCTAAACCTAATTCACAAATAATTAGGCTCTGATAACAGGGTTCCTACAGGTCACGGAAAACCTGGAAAGTCATGGAATTTAATTGTTGATCCTGGAAAGTAATGGAAAATTAAAGTTTTGTTTGTTAGATAAGTTACTGCAGATGACAAGGCAATGACAATGTAAGATAAAGAGGAGTACATTTAATTAACCAGTGCATATGGCACACATTGTGGTGGACACCAGAGTTTGTGTCTGTTGAACTGTTTAAGGTCATGGAAAAGTCATGAAATTTGAAGACCTCAAAAGAGTACTAACCCTGTGATAAGCACCCTCCCCCAAATAAGCACCCACCCCCAAGACCATAATATCAAATAAGTGTCGCCATCAAATAAGCACCCCTCCCCTCCCCCTCACTTTCTTAAATGGGGGGGATACAAGGAAAACCAGCTTCTATTGCCACTGTATGTTAAATTTTCAGGCTTCTACTACAGTGGAATCAGTAAAGGAGAATAGTTTCTTTCCCGTTAAGTCACTTACAATTATTTCTGTATCCATGTGCTTGCAGAGTTCCTTTATGTGCGTTATCTCTTCTTTTAAATTTTGTCGTTTTTCCTCGCTCTTGGTAAGTGCCATAAACTCCCCAACAACAACTAGATCATTCTCTAGTTGCTTTAAAGCACCCTCATTCGAATAAGCACCCATCCTTTCAGCTGAATTTGAAAGAAGCGCCTGAGCACTTATTCAAAGAAATGTAGTAAACCCTTCTCCTGTAATGTGCAGTTTTTAACTGTAAAGTTTAACTTTTCCAGGACAATCTCAGAGACTCCATCCAGAGTACAAGCAGTGCTGAAGATGACATCTATGAACATTTAAAAAGTATTTCTCCTAATCAACCAATCACTCCACTTGAAGCAATCCCTGACTCTAAAAATGATGATACATTCGTATATCCAAGCCCTCCCAAGACTCCACAAGAACACACTGGGACTGGAATTTATGTGGGAGCTCGGCCCGGCAGCTTCAGGGCGTCCGCCGGGAAGGGAAAGATCTCGACCGGATGGTAAGGACATAGATTGTAACTTTTAATAGCAAGTTATACTTGAATTAACTTCATCTGGTTGCAAAGTTTGAAGGAAAAATGGAAACTTCATTAAAAATCATGCAATTACATGTACCTTTTAAAAGAGAAATTTACAATCAAATTTAGAACAAACCTCTTCATAGCGAAGAAATTATGCCCTTTGACCTTCGTTATATCCAGGTTCCACTGTGCACGCACTAATATTTACTCTAACTAGGATTGTGTCTTGAATGGTAGCAGAAGTGCTTAAAAATCCTTTATTAACAAAAGTTGCTATGCCCGTAAGCACAAAGGTTGTAATAACATTGAAAGTTCTGATCATCATTTCTGCCTAAGTTGAGAACTTTGTTTTGAAGTACAAAGATTTAACCTGTGGGCGAACATACTAAAAGTTGCGTAAGATCCATATTAAAACAGTAATATTGTAAGGAGAAATGAGATGCTGATCATGAAAAAAGATTGATTAGTAGGCTTTACTAAACTGTTGCAGCTATTAACTTTATACTTTTGGTAACCTTCAATAGAAAAGAAGTTGCTATAAATTACAGACACATTCAAACCTCTATTAAGTGACAGACAAAATTGTGTGTAAGTCACTAGAACGTCTATAAGTGGCTATTTTCCTTCCCTGAAGAAGGAAAGTTGATTTTAATTTTTGCTACATTGTACATGCAGGAGGCACTTAACTCTCTCCATAACCGAAAATAATTATTTCCACAGGTTTAAAAAGGAAACCAAAGTTTATGAAGAAGTTTACGTGTCAAACTTACGAGAACCCATCATCAAAGGCTACCTGAGAGACATCAAGACAAACAAACGTCGCTGGTGCGTCTTACAAGGTAACCGCCTCCACATCTTCAAAACACAAGATGATCCAGCGATGATGATTATCGACCTGCTTGGTTGTGATATCGGTGTAGATGACAAGAAGAAGATAAGTTACAGCTTTAGGCTGACGCCTAAAGAGGGACCGGGTGTGTCTCTTGCTATAGAGGACGGCCAAGATCTATCACCGTGGATGAGTGCAATCATGGCCGCTGTCGTGAGGCGTAGCAGCGTTGATCGTCCAATTAGTCCTCTTGAGAGTGCATATTCTTTGGAACAGGCCAGAGCTGAGAAAGCAGCTTGCGGCTTTGAAGTTGATGGTGGAATAGAAATGGAAGAAGCTGATGTGGAAAATATCTATGAAGAGCCTGTTGATCAAGACACGGTAAATTGTTTACAGAACCATTTCGTTTTCTTTGTTGTTGGCGAAAAATCTTTACATTCAAAATAAGTTATATTGCGCTAAATATTAAATACTCCCCAGTCCTTAGCGAATCAAGAACATTTTGGCACTATGAAATGTCACACTGAACTTCGGGAGAAAATTTAACACATGAAAGATAATCGCAGTTATGGGTCTGAATCGCATCCAATCCTGATTTTTTTCCCCCAAGCTTTCTTTCCGTAACTGCTTAATTCGCCTACGTAACTCCGATGATCTTAGACGTGCTAAAATGGTTTAATTGTTGCAGATAAGTCTTTGGTTTTCTCCTCCGTATTTCTTGTCAGTGTGCTTAAAGACAAAAAAACAGAGTTAATGTTAAAACTTTCTGTTCCTGTCATTTTTGGGCAGAATTTGGGTCTTAATTTTTATCATTCGCATCGATATTTGCTGTGCGAACCCCTTAGCCTTCGACCAAGCTCTCCATTTGAAGGACATTGTAAGAAGTCACGCGCGAGCAGCACTCGAGAGCTAGGGTGGCTTTGCCTTGCTGTTCACTCGCGCGCGCTCTCGCAGATCGCTTCGCGCGCCACTCGCGATGAAGAGAGTTTTTTGTCAAGTTTTCCTGATTTAAATTTATGTGTTACTTATGATATATATAATAACGTGTTTTAAAAAAAATACTGTTTGCAGATGTCAAGCAATATACTGGCGGAGGCTGACACGCTATTTGATTTTTTTTAAAAAAAAAAAGCTAAAACGTGTCTTCGCATCTGTTAATTCGAAAACGAATGCGCCAGTTTTGCTATAAAAGACTATATTCAGGCTTTGAAACCGTTTAAACCCGTCGTCTGTTGGTGCGGTTGGCAAGGATGGACAGGGATTGCAACTTGGAAAAGTTGGGTCAACATTTTCAAATTTTAATGCTATATTTACAGTTCACCAAAAAGTACATCACGGTTTGTCATAACTCTACAGGAGCATTTTATGTATGGCTAAACGTACTGAGTAATGGCTTCAACCAGTGCTTCAGATCATAATTGACCAAAAACAGCAGTGCTCCAAGCTCACCTTTTTCAAAAGTCGCTGTTTGGTGACTCAAAATCATAAAACGAATGAAAACGAACACTGTGCAATATTACATGAAGGTTTGAAATATTTAAAATGGCTGCCTAACCACTACAATCGAATTTATGGTTTCACGCGACATCTCAAGGCTTGATACCCAGAGAACCAGGGTAAAATAGGCGATTTATAAATTGAAAACAGGGCGCAAATGATATCTGCTGCAAATGTGTATCTCACTTTAATTAAATACGTGCCTCGCCAAACCACGCGAATTTCGTGGAAATAAGGCCACTATGGCTCGACACAAGCTCACTGAAAACAGGTCGCCAAATTGGCGACCAAAACGGTCGCGGCTTGGAGCGCTGCCGTTAGTCCTTCTAATTATTTTTGTTATACTTTGTTTTTGTCAGGGTGGGACTGTTACTCCGATTGCATTCAGTATTCCTACAGAAATCATTTTATCTGATGACGAAGATGACGACGAAGGCTACGATGCTCCCCTCCCACCCCTCCCTATCATCGATGACTACTCATCTTCAGAAAGCAGTTCAGATGAAGATGAAAGCATAGACAAGAAAGGACCCATTGAAAAAGCGGCGGCGAAAAAGAAAATATACGATGCAATTCCGGCTGATCTGCTAGCGGAACTCAGTGGGGTTAAGTACAGTGTAGTCTCTGCAACAAACAAAAGCCAAGATTCGATTTGCGAAGAAGCATCTACTACTGAACATTCGCTAGACTTGACAGATAGTCATAGTGAACATAGTGGGAATATTAGCAACAGGCACAGCTACAGCGAGCCTCTCGCCAGCGATGATACTGGCAGTTCCGAGCCTAAAGAGGACAAGGCAGATAGTTTATCTCGGAAGAGATCATCTACAACGCTAAGTGCCAGCATGGACTCGATCTGCTCGGACACAGACGAAAAAACAAGAAGCCGTTCTCTGACGAGTGTATCTTCAAAAGTGTTAGGTCCAAAGACTAAAAGACGAAAGCTTGTACCCGCTGAAGCGGAGCAACACTTTCTTCAAGATCCAACTGCTATGCACAGTGGCATTTTGTATCAGAAGCGAAGATTAGGAGTCTGGTCGAAACGTTACTGTAAGATCATCAACAGCAGATTTAAGTGTTATCGGTGAGAAATCATGTTTTTTTATATATTTATATATATTTCCGTAGCCTGCGAATACAGTCGCTTTTCATTGCTAGCCTCAACCTTTTTAGGGAAGTTTCCGCCGAGACATTAGGGAGCTTTAACAACGACGACGGCGACGGCAACCAGGACGTCAAAAAAGTAATAGGTTTATTACGCAAAACAACAACTTTGCACGTGTATCACGCTTTTTTTGTACATTTCTTTACCGTCCTTGCACGACTACGACGTGAAAATGCCTAATTGCAAGTTTTGTGGAGGACGTAAACAAGCGACGACTCAACTCTAGGGAAATTCGTCTACACTTGCCATTTTCAGCAAACTGGAATAAACGCTACAAAGATTGAAAAAACCGGGAATTCATTTTAAAACTGACGTTTTCGCTGCCGTTGCCGTCGTCGATGCTAAAGCTCCCCAATTTCCAATCTCTTAGGGAGCGGTGCGATAAGTGCTAAATCGGAAAACAGCATAACCGGTTTAGGGATTCTATTCTCCGATTTAGCACTACATATCTCCTCCAATTTTACAATTCTGTGATTAAGAAAACTTGTACTGATTGAAGACAACTCTCCGATTCCACGATTCTTCCTATTTTTCCAGTTCTACCACAGTATTCTACAACTGTAGTGTGCTTTTGTCCGATTTCACCCAAATGGCTAAGTAATAAGTCTCCGATTGTACGATTCTTCAGATTTTTTCCGGACCGATTCTACTATTCCACGACTGTAGTTTGCCATTGTCCGATTTTACACAAATCGTAACAAATCTCCGATTGTATTGTACGATTCTCCGATTTTTTCCTAAAACGCGCTTCTTTCGCTTCATGACTTACAGAACGAGGAACAATACATGTAATACGCGCCTGTTTCGTTTTTTGGAAACAATCGAGCAAATATCGGGGAATCGTAAAACGAAACTCGAGAATGGAGATAATCGTAGAATCGGAACTGAATCATGGATCATAACTCTTATTATACTATTCTTCGATTTAGTACTTACCTCACTATTCTGGAAATCTCCCATAACCAACTGCTCCAGCGCCGGAAGCGATGGACTGTATTTGCAAGCTACGTTTTAGCTTGCCTGCTAATTAGTAAAGACTGTCTCTTTCAGTTTAGTATTTTAGCAGAAACTCATAAGGGGTTTCTGATTTTAGTCAACCGAATTCGCTTGTATCGTTTAGTCGTTTTACTTGATATTAGAGAGCTTTAGATTCTAAGACGAGAACGACTACGAGTACGAGATTTTCTCAATGCTAAGTACTGCTCGCGCGTGAGGCAGCGTCATTTTGGCGGGAAAACGTGGTAGCCGTCGTCATTCTACTACGAGTTTTAACAAGAGTGTCGTAGCGGCGGGAACAAGGTATCAAATGTTAGAAGTTTTAGCATTTTGGAATCGGGAAAGAGCTCAACCTCCTTCAATAACGATAACAGTTCTAACTTTTCTGGTGAAAAAAAGTACAATGAAGAATTCCGGGATGTCTATTTTTTGCGAATACGCGAAAAAACTTTGAATCAAATCTCGTAGTCGTAGTGATTCTCGTCCTCGAATCTAAAGGTCTCTAATTACTCATGAAAATGTTTTGTTAAACCAAACCCTCATCAAGGCGTGAAGTTTTTTCTCCGGCTTGTCCTTACTGTCATCATGATTTTACAGTCAAGACTGAAGTTTATTATTTGTGTTCAGTTGCATTAGTGACATTTTTTTTGTCGGCGATTCCACGTGAATAGCTTGACACCTTTCTTTCGCTTTCTCGATTTTTGCGTACTCGAGAAAGACTCTACATAAATCGAGTAAGATCGTTGTTGAGCATGCGCTACATGTTGCTAGGATATAGTTTCGAACCCAGGCCTTATACTAATAGCCATGCGCTTGGTACAGCGGGCTCGGTTATGACCATCGGTTTATCAATAAACGGATGCTCGCACTCGAAAAACCAGTTTGACGAGAAAGAACTAGATTGACTAGTCCAGAAGTTTGGGCTGCGGCGACTTCAAAGGTTTGACGTGATTCGGGGAAGTTCTCCTTTTCAGTCAAAAAGACAATCAGAGACCTTTAGATTCGAGGACGAGGACGACTACGAGTACGAGATTTGACTTAAAGCTTTTTCGCTTATTCGCAAAATATAGACTCCCCGGAAAGCTTCATTTTACTATATTTCACTTGAAAAGTTAGCACTCTTATCTTTAGTGAAGGAGGTTACGCCTTCTCCCTATGGCAAAATGATAAAACTTCTAACATTTGATATCTTGTTTTCGCCACCACGGCATTCTCGAGAAAACTCGTAGTAAAATGACGACGGCTACCACATTTTCCCGCCAAAATGACGCTGGTTCACGCGCGAGCACTACTTAGTATTGAGAAAATCTCGTAGTCGTAGTCGTACTCGTCTTAGAATCTAAAGCTCTCTAATGGAGGCTCTCCACGCAAGGTGATAGCTTGTCTTTTTTTGTTAGAAACCCAACCGACCACAAACCATCACTAGACTTCCCAATCCTTGGTTACGACATCAGTTTAATGGACAGCAAAGATTCTAGGAAGAGTTACTGCATCAAAATCTCCCACCCAAGCCAGGATACTTACTTCTTCGCTACAGACTCCCGTATCTCGATCGAGCGGTGGATAGAAGTGTTGTCCTTGGCTGCCACAGGGAGGTTAGATGTCATCGCACCTTATCCTCCGTACTTCTGTGCCGAGCAGTCTGGAGATGAGCTGAAGAGCAGATCGCGGGAGTCGTTGTTAAGCTGTGAGGTAAGACTGGTACTAATTTGGCTGTGTAGCCGTCGCATACAGCCGTCTCTCCCCTCCCCCACCCCCCACCTCCATCACTGCCGTACCCTCCCCCCGCAGAGAAAACGGAAGGAGGGTACGACTGTACTTTTTGCGGGAGAGACGTCTGCGATTTGGCCCCAAAAAATTCCATGCTCTGTCCGTATATCTCAGTGCCAATAGGCATCCAGTTTTACAGATGTGACTTGAGGGGCATGAAAAGACGCTGTAGAAAACCAAAGCACACGAAAGAGCAGAATATTTACAGCTGGAATGATTCAACCGGCTCCTTTTTGTCGACAATTGAGAAAATTGTGAATTTAAAATTTTATAAACATAGCGTTCGTTTACTCAGAGCTGATTTGGACCCACGGACTGAAGTGAGTCCCAGCGTTGACCAGAAGAGGCATCTGAATTATGTTCCACTGGCTCCACGACTCAGAGGCCGGATCAGACTGACATTATTTTTTGGACTTCAACAGTTTTTTAACTTTTGAAGTGATATGTTTTGGTTATTTTCGTACTTAAACAGGATAGGCTGTCTGATGATGAGAGCGCGGACAATCTGGACGAGATGGATGGTGGTGAAAGAGAAAGCACCTTGGGAAGACCAGAGCCAATGAATGAAGAACAAAGCGATTTACCAGCTGATGAAAATACTACGATTCTACCAGAAGATACAAGGCTTGTGTTAGTGTCTCCCAACGGATATTTAGGCAGATATGCGAATGTAGCTTGCTCCTCACGCAGGCCCCAGTTGTTCAAACGTTGGATAGCTCTATCCACGGATAAATCGCTGTCCAGCGGATAAGTATGAGGGAAATCAATTGCACTATCCACTGGACAGAGATTTATCTAGGAGACAGCGTTATCCACCTTTCGAACAACAGGGCCCTAGGCGTAGTTTGCAGCCAAACGACCGCTCACTGTTTGTTACTGGTATCCGCCATCTTTGATTTTGAAACCAGGGGAGACTTGGGAGTGTTGAAAGTGCTATCGGGATCCAGGGGGTGGGTGTAAGCTCTCCCCTACCCTCTCCCTGTGACCTTTGACTCACCTTCTGGTGTTTGGGAAACCAACAGTAAGGGTGTATATACCATGCTCGACAAAGTCCTAGCTCAGCCCAAGTTAAGACCCACATTGCAGGGGGTCAGCATTACATCCCATCGGCCTAAACCGCTTGGACACCTTTTGAAGTTTGCACAACCAGCCTAGTATTCTTTATTGTTTCTACACTACACGTAGATGAAATTTAAAGTTTCTTGACGTTTCTGCTCAGGAAGTGTTCATGAAAGTGTAAGTCTCTTCAATTTTTAAGGAAAAAATTCAGAAGAGCGAGAATAAGAGTCGAACCCGTGGCGTAGCGTCTGCAGTCCATCACCTATACCACTATGCTACTGAGGATTTGCCGGCGATCGTTGGTTTGATTTGAAGCTGTGTAGCAACAACCCTAACCCTAAATAGAAGCTAACCGTTTGGAGTCAGTGCTTAACCCTAACAACTATTTTCAGTGTTTAACCCTAATCACTTTAGTCCTGTGCTCGAAACCCAAGTGATAAGGAAGACTAGGTTGTGTAAACTTCATAAGGTGTCCAAGGGGGTTTCGGCCGATGTGATCCAATATTAACCATTGCAGGCTGATGCTGATTTAGGTTTCTGGGAAAGTGGCTATCTACCCCTCCCTTAGCCAACATTAACAATTACTTCTCACCAAGGGCAAAATTTTACTTTAGGGAAGGAGTAAGTGGGCAGTTTCCCCTAGAAACCTAAATTGATCAGATACAAATGCACTCATCATCATCTTTAACTACGAAAATCCTCTCTACATTTCTTTCTTCATTCCGCGGTTCAAATATATCGAATTCATATATTCATCATCGCACTGTTCTTTGTTGGTTGAAATCATGCGGCATTATTTAGCACAAAATGCAAGATGTCGTTGGGGTTTTTGAGAAGGCGCAAACGTCGGAGCCAGCACGTTTTGATATTTCTACCCTAAAAGCAAAATTAATACCGCCAAACAAGCCTTATTCAACTTTAACTTTGCGACGAGTCATAAAGTTCAACTGGACGGGACGGGAGGTGTAACACTTTGACGAAGGAAGGGGAGGCCCCGGAGGGCTAACACTTTGACGATTTTAATGTCAGGAAATTGGAACATTTCACTGAGTTGCAAACTCAGACGGCAGAGCCTGAGGAAGATCACTCCACTGAAGTTCAGCAGTCTGCAGAGGAAGGAGTTAAAGAGAGAGTGCAGAAGAAAAGAAAAGAAAAACCAAGCGATAAGGATGGAACAAGTAAGTACAGCATGCTCTGGATTCCAAAATAATTACTAAACTAATTTAAAACTATTATTCCACGGGTGCGCGTTAGATATGAGAGGGTAGATAGCGCTCCGAGTTGGCTATCTACCATCTCATACCCAGTAAGTGCGGGTGGAATAATTGTTTTATTGAAAAAGCCCACCCCACAAAATATCAAGAATTCTTGTCGACTTCATTTGTAAAACAACCGATTTCAGCTTGTTTTTAATTTCGAGCATTCGCTTACAGTTACCATATTTGGTAATGGCTCATATATCATGATGTCTAAGCCGATCAGAGCTCTAGAATTGCATTATCCAATGATACAGTTTTTTATAATTAAATTTAGATGGGCGACATGCACTTGATTCTGCTGGAAGCTCTCGTAAGCGAGCACCCTTGGGACGCGAGAAAGGTGTCCTTTATTGGAGCTGGCCGGTTACTGGAATGGTTCTCGTAAGTGGCCACGAGAGGTGTAGGGGTTGAATGGCCGCTTACAGGAGCTTGCCCAACTACAAAGAAAATTGTAAACGCAAAAAAAACTGCCTGTTGGTTTTTGGCTATACTGTTGTTCTGTCGATGTTGTAATTGAGTCACAAGCTTAAATTTCGAGTGGTGTTTTGAAGTGTGACCGGACGTGTATGTGAAACTGATATAAATTCCTTGTGACGAACAGCGACGTGAAGTTGATACATAAAAATACAAGATTTAGAGGCGAATGAGATTTCTTTTCAGGTTTCCGCTTGCTGGAACTTAATAAAAACAAAGCTAAACTCTAACTCGCAAAAGTTTAAAGTGTCCGCGGCCGTCTACGAGAATTGTTCGCTTACGAGAATGTAAAAATACACAGTTTGTATGGAGTTGACTAAAACAGGGTTTTGTGAACACGGCCGTAAGTAGAGTTGTCCGAAAGTTTTACGAGAGTGTCTGTTAAGAGAGTTTCCACTGTATTGCAACCAAATGAAGTTCTTAACAAGAATTCTGATCGTGAGTGGCGGGAGTACTCCCTCCCCCCTCCCCATCTGTTTACAATTACACTAAGAAAACCAAGCAAATTTCCAAAATCAGAATAACGTTCTCTTTGAAATTGCCGCCGGTCTACCTTATAGGCGAATCTTTGTTGACAATTCTTGCTGTATGTACTCACTCTTTTCATTCTCTGATCAAGCTATTAAGTTGCATCTCTGAATATTACCGGAGCATAACCGTGTTATTTATCTCTGAAAATTCGAGCCCAAAATACCGAACAGTTTCGGAGAAATTGTCTTTTAAAAACTCTAAATCAGATTAGAAAGAATGTATGGGCTCATTAACATTTTTGCCATCCAGAAATTTCACAGTCTTCAATGGTTGCTATACTTTGTTTTTTGAGAGAGAGTTGACTGGATTTCAAACTCAACGAAGCAAAGTTGTTCCGTGACTGATGGAAAACAATTAATTTTCTGCGGTTTCTGCCGTGTTGATATCTTGTTTAATCAACGCAAAGAACGTTCCATACATATTTGTGGTGTTTGTAACGGTGCTTTCCGAAATCTAGAACTTTCCCGGCAACTCAAGCGATGATGATGAAAATCACAAAGGCTTATTTCGAGAGTGCATGAAAGAAACCCATCACTTTCTTGCAAACTAATTTACCAATTAGTCTACGAGTCGAGTTTTTTATGAGTCAAACAGTCGACGAGACGTGACGCGTTGACTCTTTAAGGGGCTATGTCGCGTTAATCCCGGATCAGACGCCGCTCCCATCATGTGCCAAACCTAACTGATGAATTAAGAACGGCAAACGAGCGGCGTCTGAATCAATTTGGTACGGCAGTTTTAGTTAGGTGCGGCAAGAGTTCGACAGAGTCTTTCCAACTTTTGTCGACCTTAACTTAGGCTCGACACACGGTGCGCCGTCTCAATCAGTTAGGTTCGGCACATGAAAAGTACGGCGTCTGAACCAGGCCTTATATTTGCTATCTTTTCAAAACGCTAAGACTTGCGTTCGCATAAATTGAATTCCAAAACTAATGGCCCAGTTTTGTAATTCGAGACTATAGTTAGGCATTGAAACTATTTCTTGTCTTCTGTTGCTCCGGATGGCAAGGGTGGGCATGGAGTGAAGCTTGAAAAAATGCTGTGCCTGCAAAAATCACAAAAAAATGATTATGTTTAGTGTTCCCTGGTGAAATTTGTTTTATATCTTCTTTAGAACTCTATACACAGGTACCCCAAGTTCACGAGTGAGAATCGTTATTGCGTAACAGAAATATTATAAGGGTTTGTATGGGGATTTAAGCGATCATTATTAAGGGGTCAAAAATAGTAATAAAAGTATATCAACATTTCTTACCTTGTCTCCTTGTCTAAATTTATGGTATTTTTTCAGCATTTTTGGACCGTTTCAGGGCGATTCCAGCGAATTTTATTTCTGCTGTTGTTTGGGAATTATTTATACAACGAACAACGGTAGAACTAAAACTTGCTGGTATCGCCCAAAAACGAGAAAAAACCATGAATTTAGACAAGGAGACAAGGTAAGAAATTCTGGTGTATTTTGATTACTATTTTTGGCCCCTAAATAATGATCGCTTTAATCTCCATACGAACTCTTGTAATATTTATGTTACGCAACAACGATTCTCACTCGTGAGCTTGGGGTACCTATGCTCTACAGGAGCATTTTGTGAATGTTTAAAAGCACTAAGTAACAACTTCAGCACAGAATTGGCCTGAAACAGCGATATCCTCGTGAGATAACCCCTTTAAAAAGAGAACAACTAGGATGTGACTAAAAAATTATGTATTTGAGTGTGGTCGCTTACGGAAGGTTCGCCTGTCTTTTTCTTCTTGCCCCTGCAGAAACGCCATCCACAATGAGCCCGCCCCACAGCATGTTTATCAGTGAGGCTGTTGATGGGCAGGCTAAACCTGAACCAATGATTGAAGATTCCATGTCGCAACCTCCAAGCAACGCGAAGGTTAGTCAATGCTTTTAGTTCTATCTTACACATACTTGAATTTAAGTCTACTTCTGCAGTCAATCTCTATTAACCCCGAAGAATGATCATCCTCAAATTTGTCCTTGTAATATGTATTGTTTACAAAACAGATCGGTGTTGAAAATCAAGGACATAATGGCACCCAATAAATCTAATGGATACTTCAACAAATTCTCCCCAGTAATTCCGTAGGAAACGTATTGGGACAACAAATGAGAATCTGAATTTTGATGTTATTGTGTAATTTAAAAGGGGTTAAAGGCCTTCTTTCCTTTGGAGAGGCTGGGCAAGTTCATTAAGAGGAAGGGAAAGCAGTTGAAAAAGGATCCTTTTAGAGAAATCGTCCGCTGTGCCATCACTAACCGAAAGGTGTTGTGTGGTGTTTTGTTTTGTTTTCGTAATTGTTGTGTTTTTTAATACATCCTTGCAATAAATCAGCTAGATGCATTTTATTAGTACCATATTTTGAATTTTTTTTCGAGGAAACACGGTAGCAGCCACCAGACGTATAATTTTCACAACCACTGTTTTTTGCAAAACTTTTTCATTTAGATATTATAGGCAATTCCTTAACGTTTTTTATTTAAGATTTTTCACCCTTGTCGCTTAAAAGTTGGACCTTTATTACCGGGTTTTAATTAGTCATATCCCCATTTGTATTTTTACAGGAAAGCGCTGAGGATTCGACAGCAAAAAAGGACAGGCGTTGGACAGAGAATCTGAAAAAGAAGAAGTTAACACGCGGCAATTCCTACGATTACAGATTACGGGGAAATATCGCAGCTGCCGCCCCTCCGGAGAACGCTAAAAACAAACATTTCAGTATGAGAAGAAAAAATTCACAGACTTTCAGTTCTTTGTTGAAATTATTTGACAAAGGTCGTTTTTGTGGGTATCTCACGGAAGTGAGGCACAACAAGTTTGGTACAACTCATCTACGAAGATGGTGCGCAGTAAAGAACGGTGTGCTGATTATGTACAACAGCGAGAGTGAAGAGACACCTCAAGGAAAGCTCTCGCTTGTTGACATGTGGCTAACGGATAAAAGCGACGAGAGCCGAAACAAGTTCGCCTTTTCGTTGGAAGACAAGGACGGTAACGCCACCGTGTTGCAAACGACGGTACGAGACGATTACTTAAAATGGATGGGAGTGCTGGAGTTGTTCACTGAACTGCGGGTTGAACGACCTACGCAAGAAGTCGCAGAACCGCTCAGAAAAACAGATTCTGTGACAAGCGAGGAAAGCGATGGGTCGTTCGAACGAGGAACGCTAAAATCGAAAAGTATGCGGGCTGCAAATAAACTCATCGACGAGATATACGCGCTTGCGCCCGGGAAAGTACGATCCTCTTTGAGGCTGAAGTTGCCACAGAGAGTAAATGTACGGGATATATTTCGAAAAACGCACAGTTCGTACGATTTAGAAGGTGCATCGACTGAAGGACCATCCTCGTCGCTGCCGGACACAGAAATTGATACTTTAGCAGTGTTCGGTGGATTCTTGACTCAGATAGAACCAGATGTATCCGATTCTCACACCGGAAGCTCAAGGTGGTGTACAATCAAAGAAAAAGAACTGTTAGTTTTTCTCAACCGCAAAGCGACCGATCCGGTTCAAAAAATACCTCTGATGAACTCGTTTGTTAGTGATTTGAACGAGGATGAAGATAACTTGAACAGATTCCAAATTCGTTGTGGCAAGCTGAGCGTCGTGTTTGAGGCATGGGATAAATTTGATCTCAATCGCTGGCTTCAAATGCTGGCTTCGGTGACTGAGCATCGTAACTCGAGCGATGACGAACGGCCGAAGTGTGTTGGTCGGCTGACTTCGCCGACTTTCGCTAGGAAGAAAATCCACCGTCGAACTAAGAGCGAGGATATACGAGAGGATGAGAAAGACGCTACGACAACCGCACGACGGTACACGAAACCAAAAGATGGATCCACGAGTTCTGTCGACAGGCTAATGAGCGGGTATTTACAGGAGGTGCGCGAAGCACACGGAGCTCGCACTCTTCTGCGGCGCTGGTGCGTGGCAACCAGTGAGAAATTTATCGTTTATGATAACCAAAACTCGAAGAAGGCTTCGTTTGAGTGGGATCTGTCAGATATGGAACTCCACGATCAGAGCGATTTGGACGCTGGAGTGTTTGGTTTCTGTGTAATTCTCGATGAAAAGAAACTTTGTTTTAAAGTCATCGACGAAGACTCGGCTCGCCATTGGTTGAGTGTTTTAGCGCGATATTGTCAAACTGTTCCTGCGAACCAACCTATAATTAAATCTCCAAGAAAGTGGAAGTCGGTTAATAAAGAAGACAGAAGGCGTTCCTCTAGCGATAACGATTTAAAAACCGCAAAGAAAACCGAGAAAGAATCCAATGTTCTTGAAGTTCTAAGTGAAGGCAGGGCGAGCGGGCGAAAGCTAGTACGAAGAGCAACCGAAGATTCTTCGTTCCTGCGCAAATTTCATCGCTCGGAGACGTTCAAAGCGCCGTGGCGGGTGTCCTCGGAGAAAATAGAGGTGAAGATGCGAGAGAGACCGGGACGGGCCGCTGCGAACAAGGCCTGGAAACGATACTCTTGTGGTAGTCTTTTTGACAGCGAAGGAAAATACAGCGGCTATCTGATGGAGATTGTCACCAGTGACCTGTACAGTAGTCAAGTGCGACGATGGTGTTTACAGAAAGACGATTACCTCTTTGTGTATGACAACGAAGCTACGGAGCACGCCATCAAAGTGATTCCTCTGTTTGATGCCAAAGTAGTGGACACCAGTAACTATGACGCCTGTGTTTATCGATTTAGAATCGATTATGGTGAGAGTAAGTCTGTGTTTTTTCGGGCGCTTACACGAAGTGATTTGGAGAAATGGACGACCATCATCTCAGTGAAAACCGCTGTGTTGCAAGACCGTAGCGAGCGGCGGCTCAGACGTAGCCGAACCTTGAGCCTGGAGATCAGTTCTCATGATGTAACAGGTAGCGTAACGATAGTACGATTTTAAATTCCGTAAATCGTTTCTTTTCCGTGAAGAAATTTGACCTCCTCTATCGAGCCCCTACTCAATAAAGCCTAATTTGAAATAGCGCTCCAGTGACTTTGTAGAGGGTCTACAAAAAGTTTTAACATAGTTAAGAAGTTTAATCAACACAGGATTTCTTGGGGACCAATGTACCAATGTGGGGCTTAAGCAAAGACGTTTTTGAGTACGCACGTCAAGCGGAAGTGGTCTTTTTCCATTCTTGGGCTTTGGTTTTGACCAATTTTTCGGTTAAATCGCTTGTTTAAGGAACGCCTCACTTCCGATTTACGTACGTCACTCAAAACCCCCTTTGCTTAAGCGCCCTGTTATAGCCGCTGCGACGTCATGTGAGCATGATCAATTTGAGAGATCACATTTTTCTGTGACTGAAGGTCTGTCTAGGGTTACAGGGAAGCAAATAAGCCAGGCTATTTTGTGAAAGCAACTCCGGAGGATGACATTTTGTATCAAGGGGTTTTCATCTATTTTTTTGTTCTATGTGCTTTGCAGTATCCAGTGAAAGTGACGTAACCTCTCCAGATCTTCAAAACCCCAAGAATCTAACCATCGACTCCCCCTCTTTACAAGAAACAGCGTCTCTCTGGTCTTCAGACAGCGTATTTATGCGAGGAATCAGTTCAGAGGAAGGCGCCAGAACTTCTGTTTCATCAGACGTAAAGCCAGTTGATCCGATAGATAAATCCAGTTTCTCCGGTTTTGAACCGAAAGACGAGCATTCGACTTCTGTTCATTTCGAAGATAAAGCCGGTTTATCAGGCTCAAATCCACCTGGTCCATTGGATGAATCCAGTTTCTCTTCTTTAGATCTGAAAGATGAACATTCGGCTCCGGTCTTTCTCGAAGATGACTCTGGTTTCTCGAACGTAAAACCAGTTGATGAAGATGACTTGAGTTCATCTGCTGTGGAACCGAGTCACGATCATTCGGCTCCTGTTCATCTCGAAGGTGACTTCAGAGACCGAACGTTCTCGGAAACGGGAAATTCGGATAGCAATTATAAACGGGTGAATAGACTTTCGAGCATCGAGGACTTGAGTCACATTTACGAGAATTTCCTTGCATTTGCATCAACGATGGCTGAAAGGAGCCCTGAGTTTCAACAACAACTCTATCATGTTTACGAGAATGTCACACAGGCGTTTGACTTTCGATCTCAAGATAGCTTGCATAAGAAAGAAGATCTTGTGGAGGAAAAGGCCAGCTGTTCAGTCGGTCAAGAGACCAATGTGGAAAAGGAACTTGGAAGCCCTTCGATGGAGATGTCCACGGAATTTGAGAAAATCAGTTTGCGGGACAGAGAACGTAAGGAGAATGAGTATATGTACAGACCGTACTCAGGAATCTGTGGTGAATCGGAACTTGAGAAACTGGCAGAAAGTTTAGGCGAAGAGGACGAGAATGAAATTAATACTTTGGCCGAAAACAAAAATGAAAACAGCACTGAAGTTGACCTGCGTGGAGGCAGACTTGCAGGCGAGGCTGATGATGTAAAATCCACCAATGAATTACAGTCAGATGAAGTTGTTTGTAGTACATCCGCCGATGTTGTCGAGTCAAGTGGCCAAACACCACTAAGAGATGAAAACGCTGAAGAGAAGCACGCAGATGACAATAACACGGTTCAAAGCGCACCCACGTTGCTTCACGCCGACTGTGTGACTGCCGTTGAAACTGGTTCCAGCTCATTTTATCTCGTTCAAGAAGTAAACGAGCAGATTTGGAGTGGAGTGGCAAGCAGAGTGCCTAGTGAATCCGTTGTCGAGACCAGCATGCAGATCTCAGCTACCGCTGAGTCGGCTACTGATCAGGAGACTTCGGCTTCACTCGTCGGCGAGTCTCCTGTGGAGAATGTTGCCGAAGAAGTAGCGGAGAGGGGTGTTGTTATCCAAGGACCCATTGACGATTCCCAAGATGATGAAGAGAATTTCAGTGCTCCTGAAAAGAAGGGCTCGATGGAAGAGACTGCTTTTAGTGATATCCAACATCTAAGCGAAGATACTGCGTTGTCAGAAGAAAACCGTTTTACAATCAGAACCAATGAAATAGAAGAATCTTCGTTGCAATTATCTTGCTTTAAAAACAATGACAGCGATTCTGATGTAATCAAGGAGGCTCAAACTAGTAACCTCACCCCCTCATCTGGCAACAGTTGTCTAAAATGCGGATCAATTCAAAATGTTTCCATTGCCGGTTCGTTTGTCACATCAACACCGCTTGAATCTAAATGTTCCATGGAAGTGCACTCTAAACAGAATATTTTGTCAACAGTCTGTGCTTGTGAACAAGCGCAGTCGTGGGATGAAGCTACGCTGCAAGTGGAGGAAATCGCGTCCGTCCCAAGGCAAGATCCAGGGCTTGAAATTGCCTCGACTTCTGCCTGTGATAATCGTGATACTGTCGTCACCGAAATATCTAACGAACCCAAACGGAAAGAAACTGTTCAGGACACACCTCAATTAAGGCACCCTTCTTCCAAAAGTAATGGGGAAAGTTCCAGTCAAGAAACCGTGATTTGTGATGCAGAAACTACAAATCAAGCGAAAAACACAACGTATAAAACCTACAGAGGAGACTCGTGTGAACAGTCTGATAAAATGCCATCCAACTTAGCTAGGTCCTGTGTCTCCGATTCTACCACTTACTTGGACTCATCAAGTGACTTTCGAGAAAACGTTGATGTTCTTAAAAAGTCTCCAGAACGGGACACGGATTGTTCTACTAAGTCTTCGTCAGACGAGGAGTTTGCCACGCCAGAGGATACGATAGACTTTTCTGGGAGAAACAATGAGCATGACTGGACAAGTATAACTCAAGATAGCCGCGGGACAACTTCAACCGAACCCGTGGAGTCAATCGGGACCAATCGGGATCATTCGAGTAAGTCTTCAGAAGGACCATGCGATGGCCACCTCCTCCCTGCCACAGATCCAGAATCAGACAGTAAGACGTCTCTAAGCGTCTCCTCGGACAGTTGCAAAGTCAACGCAAACTTGGAGGACAAGCAGGATCTGACAAGAAGTCAGATGGATATCTTAAAAGCTGTAACAGCTGCGTTTGAGGAAATTCTTGAACTTCATGGCGACGAAAACGATTCAGACGATACCAAACTATGAAAGGCTTGTACCATCTTAGAATGCTATTATATTAATGAGCTCTTTGCAACTAAACAGTCACGTGGTGCAAAAAAAAAACCTCGAGGAAAGAAAACGACGCTGTAGGACCTTTAAAAGAAGGAAAGTTCGCTTTTTAAGTGATTTAAGCTCTTTGTTTTTCTTGCCCCTCTTCAGGTGCTTTTGGTCTATTTGACTGTTTAGCGGCAAAGGGGCTCATTTTATAATATACACTATATTGCAATTCACCGCTTTAGAATCGTTAAAGGGACTGGTTCCGAAATGTGGCCCCGCAATTGTTTCTGGGATGGTTACTGGGGACGCGCTGGTCAGCTATTGGCCAGTTCTCCCCCTTGCGTAAGTTAACTAGACCCAGTTTCCTTCTCGGATCTAAAGTTGCGAATGATGTTGTCGCCTATAAAGCGTAAACTATAAACGATGAGACCGAAGGGCTTTATGGGAAGTACTCATGCATTTATGCATTTGCATTATCGTAGGAGAGAACTTTTAGAAAACATGCACACAGGTTAGTTATTGCTAAGAACCTATCTTCAACGAAAGCCTCTTTAGAACTTGTGGTAATTTATCCCTCCCGCGATTTTTGCCAGAAAGGACAATCGAATTTGCAATGCTAGCAAACCTATATCCATAAATCCATTAGGTCTCATAGGTTTAGGCTTATGCTTTTCATGTGACAAAGACTTTCTAGACGAGTGCAGAGAAAGTCCAAATCCGCCTTTACGTGTCAAAGATAAGTTGACAGAGTTTGGTCACACCGAATGGTAGTAAGCGTTTTCAAATCGAAAAACTCAACCTTTTTTCCAGTCGTTAGTTGAATGTTTTCTTAGAAAAATACTTCTCCGCGTCGTTTATTTGAATTTTCACCGTTGTCAACTTCATCCACAGACTTGAATTAAAATTATCAATCCAGCATGATAAACTCTGCAAAGAAAACAAATTACTGTAGAGTAGCTTTCCTGCTTGGAATGTGAGTCACACTTCAGGATTTCACTTAGACTCAAAAAGTCGCTACAACCTTGTACAGCACAGTAACCAAAACAACGCGAAAGAAGCGGTCAGTAGCTTTCACTGGATTGTTCGCTGCCATTCAAAGATTCAAAATCACACTGCGCAACTCGAAATTACATCCGGAAATATAAGGGATACGTTCTTAGTCAATTAAGATACTATTTGCTTGCTTTAAAAAGACTTTGAAGTATTGTTGGCTTGTTGCCCTACTTCACGTCATGTGTCCTTCTTAAGAGAAATTTTCCTTGTCTTTATTGGCCATTTAGAATTACGTTTGGAACTGAGTTGGTGTTTCGTTTCGAATTGAACCATGAGACTTATTTTGGGTGCGGTTTTCTGAGCACCAAGCGTAGGGCTCGTACGCGTCATAAAAAACGTGGAAGGTCATGAAATTTAAGAATTTCATTTTCCAGGCCTGAACAGCAGTGGAAATTAAGTGTCGGTCATGGAGAAGAGAAGTTATCTTTGACCTTTAGATGTCAAAGTAAGATGGAAACAAGTAATAAGCCATTCCCGAGTTACCCAAAGCCTCTGTTCGAAAGCGAGGCTTAAGTGCGAAGTCATTGATATGAAAACTTTTTTTCACAAAAAAGGTTTTGCACTAAGACTCGTTTTCGAAGTGAGAGTTTTTGGAACTCATAAATGGCTTATTAATAGCGTGAACGGCATGCATTTTGGTGGACACCAGAGTATGTGTCTGTTTGTGTCTGAGTTAAATACACAAATCAACAAAAACAACAATGGTTTTGAACATTTTCGAAAGTGACCGCTTAACCTAAGGTCATGGAAAACTGGAAAAGTTCATGGAAAAAGTCATGGAACTTGAAAAGCCCAAACGAATATCAACCCTTGCGAAATAAACGCCAAAAAAGGCGATAGCGTCCCCAAAAAGATCCCATGGTGCTATTCGAAACAACACCGACCTATGCCTGACTCCTTTGCTCGAAAAAGGCCAATAAATGAATGCATCTATACGTGAATTTGATTACTTTTGAAAGAAAAACAGTTCTTTAGACTTACACCATGTATTCTGAATAGAACAGCAAGCAAACCAAAGGTCTATTGTTCATGGTGCAAACAACATTTTTTTCGTAAGAGGTAAGATGAATTCGTGCGCCTATCCCTCACACAGATCCCCTCGAAATGTGGGTTGGGGATCGTTGTATATAAACAGGTTTTGCATTATTCTTTCGCATTTGTTCTAGCGGTTTACCTTGAAGTCTCACAATCACTTGAAAAACGGGTCCTAGGTGTGATTGTGACACTCGGATAGTCCGTGCTCCCATGGTTAGGGAAATGTTGTCTTACGCTAAACTTAATAAGTGCAAACGAGCTTTTGGAATTATAGGATTGTTACACATTATTGCCATATAGTACATGTTATTCAATTCTACGCTTCAAGGGCTGATTTAAAGTTATCATATTTTGTCACATTTGATCAAACACGCTACTTTATGGGCAACTACGTTGGTCACATAAAATTTGGGGCGATTTGTTCATGAGCAAACAAAAACTGTTAATCAAATTTATCGTCACGGTAGTGGCTGAAAATGAAGGCTGATGAGGGTCTTGTAAATATTCAAGACGTTTATCGATTTGAAAAGTAGTTGACTATTGTTTAATGGGTATTTATAAGCTCTTTGAGGCCTCCTTCGTAGCCACAGTCAGAAGCAACTAATAGTGTGGTTAAAAGACCACATGATATAGTTAGGCAAGGTACTCGAGCATATATTTTATTTACCGAAGGATATACGCCGCAATCCCCCAATCCAATTTTGAAATGAAATTGTCACGCGTCATAATTGGTCACGCAAGTATGACTGAATCGTTATACTCGTGAAGTGATTGTTGAACATAATATGAAAATGACTACTTGGATCAATGTTTAAGTTAAAAATTTATGGAAAAAAATTGCTGCTAATTAGGAATATGAGAAAAGTGGCATTGTATGGCCACTATCGTTCGAAACTTGAAAAAAATTATATTAAGAAACGTATTAATTTAATTTAAGAGAGTATAGTCTAGTTTATTTAAGAGTTAAAGTACGAGTGCCGCCTAACACGTCAGGAAGGCACGCATACTTTCATCGTTGGAATGTACGTTAGAAGATCTACGGGTTTCTCGTTCATCCTTGTTTGAACATTTAATCGCAACGAGTAAACTATTCTCGTATCAGGCATCTTCAATCGCTTTGGTCACTGGTTCTTTCATGCAAATTTGGAGTAACCATGACAACCCGCTGATGTAATATACCGCTGTACAGTTAGAATTTGTTTGAAATCATTTCATAGAAACATTACCTGGATGTCCATCACAGACAATAAAAGATATAAATGAATGATTGTGTGGCTAAATTATCTATTGATTTAATGACTAGTCCCAAAGGGAAACAGGTCACTTCGAAAAACACTCACTTTTCAGTGAATGGAGTTTCAACTCGCCTCAGCAATATCTTGTTATGTCATGCAACGTTCAACCTTCTTCTACCAGATAATAGAGAGGAGAAGTGTGACGTCACGTTACCATGGTAGCACTATTTCTGGATGACAACAAAACCAACGACGACGGCGACGGCAAGGAGAACGGCGAAAAGTCATATGTTTATATTAACAAACAACAACTTTGCACGTGCATCACGCTATTTTGTACATTTCTTTGCCGTCGTTGCACCTCTACGACATGAAACTTCCTAATTTCACGAGCCCGCTTTATGGAGCAGGTGAACACAACACAAAAATCGTCGCTTTCTTTTTCTAAACTTAGATAACAATAGATAAGGTCCCAAAAAGAATTTTGCCAAGATTTGCCAAATTAAATGAAGTTGAGTTTGAAATAGTGCGAATAGTTTTTCAAGTGACTTTATCGGTTTGTTGTCATCGAAAAACTTTGCTGCCATGGCAACGTAACGACTTCTCTCTAAAAGCCTTGTTCAAAATTTTGCAGAAAGAAATTTTTTATGGTTATGTAAAATTTTGGAGGGACAGCAAAGAGTCTTGTGGTATTTTTGAAAAAGGCCTATAAGTATTTAAGTTTGTTCTCTGAATATTGAAAACTGAGCTTCATTGGATGGAGCTGTCTCTGAAAATAGTCTAGGGTTTTTGCCAGGGAGTTGTTATAAGTGGGTGAACATAAGATCCAGGGAAGGTCCCACCCTCTGGACGACTCTTCTAAAGGAAGGAAAGCCCTTCTCGGTAAATATTCCCAACTATTTTTCAACCTACAAGCTAGCAATTCCAAAACAAGATACCACAGCTTTTGCTTTGTGTAGTAAACAATAAGATCTTCAGCTTTTGCTTCTTTCGTGAGCTCAGCTGGCGAGAAAACCATAATTTTTCTCATTCAAACCAGAACCATTTTTAAAGATGCATTTTGGTGGACATTCCACAAGCTTCATTAATTAATTAGCTTAACCCATTCGCTCCTGAGCAGCCCGTAACTGCCCATGCGGATCCACGTCCTCTCTACCGCTTGTGACGTCATCAGTTTTAACGGTCAAGGATAACTTTGTCCGCTTACTTGTGCAGAGTGAAGAGATCTTTCAAACCATACCAGAATGAGCATAATTCAGTCAAGGACACCAGAGAAAAAGGCAAAAAACTATGTAACATTGACCTGAAAATCTCCATGAAAATCTTGTTCCTCCCCACCTACCTTTCCTTTCATCTAATCCTAAGATCCTAAAAACTTTACTAAAAACTTTTGCTACCAAAATAAAGCCTACCAAATGCCCAAGAGCAAGAGAAAAAAGAAATGAGGCAAGATAAGCGAAAAAAGAGGGGAGGAGAGAAATCTGGAAATTTTGCTTTTTGCGTATGCCCGAACATCGCAAGCTAA